CACGAAAATTCAACAGGCAAACATAGAAACGTACCTTGTCGAGGCACTTGAGTTCCTCGATCGGGTAGACCGTTTTCTCGCAGCGAGCGCACGTCTTGCTCATCTTCTACTTCTCTTCCTTCGCTTCTTCGTCGTCTTTCTTCTCTTTCCCTCCCTTTCAGCCGCAGTTCCGCGTACGTATGGATCTTGGCCTCTCGTCTTCACACGAAACACTGCGCCAACGTAAAGAACACGTGTAAACACTAACAACACATCCGCGCGGTATTTCGTATAGAGACGATCGCGGAAAATCGACGATTCGAGTTCGTACACGGTCTGGGATTGTTGTACGAGTTTTCTCGGCGACAACCGCGATCAAGAAAGTGCACGCCAGCGAAAAACCTCGAACAGAACGGGTGCCACAGAGCCGCACCAAACTATACTGCCCTCTCGTCCTCGTCTAGCTACAAAAACTCCTTGAGTGACAGTAATGGTGGTGTACCGCGCTAGTCAAACGAACGGCGAAATATTTAACGTTTCTCAAACACTTCTCGACTGGATTTCTTTGAAGCATCGCTCGCTAATGATTTTAATTAGAAACAAACGAGGTGATAATTTCATTATTTGTCAAGTGATGTTGGCTGGAAATATTATTTTAAACTATCTTTGAGCGCAACGCGTCGGTAAGATAGAGCGATTCATAGATGCCTCGATAATTTAGAATTATTTTTCACACTGGAATTCTTTACTTTGAATTGTCTATTTTATATGAGACTATGTCATAATTAATATGCTGCAATCGAATATTTAATGGTGCTACAATTGATACGTTTAATTCATCTAAGGAAGTTTCAAAGTAACAAGAGATTTAATATACCACGCTAATCAACATGGCAACATATGCTATTTACGTCTATCAGTAATTTAATTTCCGTCTGGATAAAATTGGATATAAGTAGTTGAAGAATACGCGTGCTAATTTTAACACGATAAGCTTTGTTTGTGCTATAAATATAGTACAACTCTGAAAAATAACATACAAAAACATATCAGCGTGACGAGATCGGTATAGAAGAGAACTAATATTCCGGTAAAAAAAAAAACTTTAATTTAAAATAATTCGCTTTGATTTTTACGTTATATTCTATTTATTATTATATCCTGTAACGTAAAGAACATTAATCTATAATGTTTTAATTTTTTAATACTTTTGACCTGTTACCGACGCTTCGATTGTTCTGTCTCGTAGCGCACTCTATGCAACCACATGTTTCAAAATTTGAAATAAAGATTCAATATGTAATAATCCTTTAAACGGTCAACTATGTATGAAAAATTGTATTAAAAGATGGCAGTATATTAGTTACATTATTATCAAATTTCTACAATAAAAATTACCGTGTTCCTTTAAAAAACTGGTAAACAAAACTGAAATCTTTCTTTGCAAAGCCTTGAGAAATAATTGCTCTATAAATTTGATGAGCCAAGGAACCTAAAGGAATAGTTGCTTCTGCATTAACTGCGGCAGACTGCGCCAATCCCAAATCCTTGGCCATTAAGCTCACTCCAAAACCGCCCTAAAATTAAATCCACTAAACGTTTTTTTCGCTAATATATAAGAAACATAATTAAGTACCTCGTAATTCTTGGAGCTCGGAACATTGTCAAGGATACCTGGGACAGGATTGTACAACTCGGAAGACCAACATCTGCCAGAACTCGAGTTTACAATGTCAGCTAACACCTTGGGATCCAGACCCAATCTGAAATGCGACGAGCATTTTTTTAATGAAACGATTATATTTACAGCGTGTTATGGATTGCATCGTGCGCATGTTACTTTTGCCCGAGATTGAATGCTTCGGCTGTGCCGATCATGCTAACGGCCAAAAGCATGTTATTGCACAATTTTGCCACCTGACCCATGCCCACGTCCCCACAGTGAACAATCCTAGATCCCATGGTTTGTAAGAGGGGCTTGGCAAGTTCGAAATTTTCATTCGAGCCTCCGACCATGAATGTCAGCGTTCCGTCCTTGGCAGCGTTCACGCCTAATCGAAATAAACGCGTTAATTGCATTCTTATAAATGCGTGGGCATTCGCGATTCATTTACAACATTACCTCCGGACACTGGACCGTCTAGAAAATTAACGCCGGACTTTTCAGCCTCTTTCGCCAAAGTTTGAGAGACAAATGGATCTATCGTGCTGCTATCGATCAGCAGTGTGTCTCTTTTTGCTGAACTGAAAGCACGGAAAGAAACAGTAAGCGCGTTTTCTCTTCGACGACAATCCGCTCGATAAATTTAGAGAATGCTCGGGAGACAAAGCGGCTACTTATTTACCTTAATAGACCATTTTTAATGTTGTAAACGTCCAGAACGTGTTGATTCGACGGCAACATCGACACAACCACTTCGGCATCTTTCACCACGTCAGCAGGGCTCGAAGCTCTGTCAGCACCTACCTCTGTTAGATTCGACACGGCTGATTCGTTGACATCAAAGACTATTAATTTGTGACCCTGTAATACATATGGAAATCAATAGACCCGATTTCTTTAGACATTGGTGCTAATCTGACTTTCGATACATTTACATTTTCTTTTTTGAGTCAATGTAGTGATAATAGTATAGATTGCAATATACATGTATATGTTGTATACTTGAACTACTCACCTGTTTCAAAATATTCCTTGCCATGTGACCACCCATGTTGCCCAAACCGATGAAACCGACTCGCGAAAAGCATCGTTTCCCTTTGTCACGTGTGATGAAATAAAAAAAAAAAAAAAAAAAAAAAAAAAAAAAACAAAAATGGAAATTAACTTCTTACTGTAAGCAGATATATTAACTATAATGTTAAAGAGAAAGAACAACCTGCAGTAACAGAAACGATAAATTTCATTGATGAAGTAACACTCATTGTGAAAATACTCGTATCACGGTGTTTCTAAGAAAACTTAGCGAGTTAAATTTTTCTATTATGAAAGAGTTTCGTGCACAAAGGTCAGTTTCGACTGACTAACTAACGTCACGTTAGTTAATTAAAATGTAACGAACTGTCATGTGTATCTCGAGAATGACACGCGTTTATAGGCAAAAAATAGTACAAAGTTCTCATGCATGAAATTTAGTAGTCTAATGTACGACACGAAATTCAACGAGAAACTAATCAGACTGCTCGTGAATATTTTCTTTGAAAATGATGAACGTGCGTGTTATCGGCCCGAGTTCATAGCTTATCTGCTAGATATATAAATATTTTCTTTAATTTTATTATATTTATTGTACCGTAAATATTATGTTTAATAATTTATACGTCGTTCAATGAAGACGATAGCTACAGTGTGATAGTGCACATTATTACTATCACATTTTTATCTTTCGTATGATAAAGCAATACTTCTTTAAATATTTTACAAGTATTTTATAAAGTATTTTACATAAAATATTTTGTATACTATGAAATGAAAAGAAAAGATGTTTTTTGTAACTATATTATATGTGCAATTAATGACAACGACTGAAGAAAATAAAATGATAATATCTTTGCTGACGCATTGTACATTAATCAACGTATCTACACGAGTGTACACGCGAATAGTGTTTTCTTACATTTTATTACTTACCACTTATCGGATAAATGAAAAAAGGGTAAAACGGTTTGTAATCGCTTCGAATGAGAATTGAAAACAATCCTTATCAAATTCTCCATCGTTCCTTTTTCCTTTTTTTTATGTAGTTAATTTTACAGCACGCGAAATATGAAGAGAAACATGGAATAAAGAAACACAAACGGCAGAAAATAGTTCGTCAGTATAACGAAAAATGTTCCTCGAATAACGTGTATCTAAATGTCACTCTGTTAGATTATCTTTTCACACACGAGGCATTGATGAATATTTAATGGCTGGTCAATTAAGCATCAACGAAACCATAAACTCGCCTTGAAACTCCGGCCATAATTACGCGTTCTGTGTCAAGTTGTCAACCATGAGCTGTAATTCTGTTTGCACGATATTCTTTATCTGCCGTCAGACTGCACTTTGAACATTTACGTCTGTGTATAATGGAGCACCAACACCTACGTATCATCGAGTAGAGTTTACAGAAATTTCTGTAAATATATATTCGCCTCATCGTGGAATCGTATTCCCAGCAGTTCAATTCTGTTGAAGAGAGCGTTATGTTTTAGGTCGGTCCTACACGTAAGAATACAGGGAAAAACTTGGTGAAAGAAAAGAAGAGACAAAGACGAGGAAATTGGATAACAGAGGAAATTCACGATTGAAAACGAGGATATCCTTCGCTTCGTGGAGGGACACGTGTTTTCTCTGGAAACGGATTCAATGAGAAGGACGCTTGATAATCGAACGATCACGACCCATTATAGAAATGTGCTCGTTGATTTTCACGTTTATGACATCTGTTTTTTCAGTGGCAGCCGATAGAAATGATATTTTCGTATCGAAAGGCAAATCGTGGATCGCCGATGAGAATTTCACAGAAATCATCAAGTCGTCGTTTGCTTCTTCCAGATGTTGCAACGTTTTCTTGATCGGTTGGTAAAGATACCAAGGTTAAATCGTGGGCTTTTCGTTCGAACTTCAAAATTCTAAATAATTACGTATTTACGGGTTTATCGATAAATAACGAGATATTCAACGTAATGAACGATCGTGTAATTTTATTTAGATTCGACGGAAGATTCGAATGCAGTGTTCGATCAATTTAAAAGCATCTATCCGTACGATTACCTCTTGGAAACGAGCATGCACGAATGCCAGGGATTCTTTTTCCTCGGATCGAGTGACGACGATATCATGGAGTCTATAAAAAAGTGAAATAAAATAATTACGCACGAGTGTAGAAAGTTCCATACACTTTTTAATAGAAATATCATTCTTCTCCGTCGTAGAATACCTTTGCTACAGTGGAGTATGGAAATTCTGATCGTGGTGAACAATAATGTTTCAAGTGATTCTTCTTTATTTAACAATTCTGCATACGGAATCGCAAATATAAATATTGCCTCTATGTCCGGAATGTGGAAGCTATCGGCGAACTATTTAAGACCGCGAGTCTTTACTAAAATTAACAGGTAATGCCAATGAATTATAAGAATTACGTTGGAACGAAACATTAATTATTCTTCAATTATTGGGAATAAATGAATTTCTGTCGATCGAATCCATTTATTTTAACGCAATCTAAGGACAATAGATAGTTTGTTATATAAATCGGTTGCTTATTAATTACATAGATATATTCATCTTTTTTTTTTTTTTTTTTTTTT